ACACAGTTTGAAATTAAGAAGGAAACTTTAGCACTTGTTAAGCAGCACTTGCCATTTAATCTACCATTTTTTCTCTGCCATCAAAAAGTGTTCAAAGGTATTTTTTTAGTCTAGTTTTGTACATGTAACAACTTTGGATAACATTAAAATTGTCAGCATTTTAAAGCACTCCATAGCCTTTCAGTGACAACAAAATGATGTTCAACAGCAACAATATTTTGTCTTCCCTAAAAGATCATGGAACACTTTATAAAAAAGGATAAAACACCTTCCCACTTCCCATCTCAAATTCAGCAAGATATGAAGAACATTTAAGTCCTGCGATGAGAATATCAGACGATGAGGTTAGGAAAATTCTTGTACAACAGAATAAAAATTCAAAAGTGATGTAATGTATTTGTACTGTATTTATGGACAAAATCTGTACTGATTGAACGCAAATCATACAATTTGGTGATGTATGAGAAAATTTTCAATATTTTTCATACAATTTTCTGATCGTGTGTACTAGGCTTTAGGAAGGCTACTTTAACAGACCAGACCGTGCATACAAGCCCTACACTAATTTCTTCCTATCTCCCTATGCACTTTATCATCAGCTCTCCCAATGATTTCCCTATCACAGCTAAAGCACATTTTCAAAATGGTTGCTAGGAACCCCTTTTCAAATGAATTAGAATTTAGATTGGGAGCCAGGACTTTGCCATCATTAGTACCTTACCTCATAAATGTTTTTTGGGCACAATTTCTCACAGACACACTTCAAAATCATATGGAAAGCCTTCCTAGAAGAGTGGCGATTGTTGTGGTTGCAAGGGGGGGCTTTAGCTCCATATTAATGCTCATGATTTTGGAATTGATGGCTAACAAGATGATAGATGTGCGATGGTCAGTTGTCCACAAAATGTTGGCCGTATATTGTACATACTGGGTAAAGTCAGATCCCTTGAGGTGGGCTTGGACCTTTGGGGTCAATGATATGTAAGATTGTATATGGGGCTAGTAATAGATCAAGGTAAATAGTTTCACACAGATGTTTAGGCAACACAGATAATAAAAACAGCCAAATAAGTTGTACAAAGCAAAAAAGCACTGTAACTAAATGTTTTACTTTCACTTTAATTCTCTTAAATAATACAGTGATTGAATAATGCTTCAAGGAACAAATTTCATTCACAGAAAATTGTAAAAGGAGGGATAAAAAAAGAGCATAAAATTGGATAAAAATGATACATATTATTCTATAATTTGTCCCATTTAAATGGACACTCAAAGTATGGTTCTGGTACAAAGCATTGAAAAGTTATTTATGTAGCACCCTCTAGTTTGTTAATAGAGTAGTGTAGGTAAATGTATTGTGTATGACTCATGGTAACTGTGTGAGTCTCTAATTAGGCCGGGTTACTGCAGGTCAGACTGGATGGCGTAACAGCTTGTGACTCTATCACCTCCAACCGGTTCTAGAGGACTATGGGACCTTCCAAAAGCCAGTGGGCGGAAGGGGTGGACACCTGATATGCATATTTATGGGAATCTAACCAATCCCAGGTTTGGATGCCCTGGTAGATAACAAGATTAAAAAAATGCACTGTTATTTTAAAAAAATGTGGTACTGTAGACAAAAAATACACTTTATTCTATAATTTGTCCCATTTAAAATGTGTTTTTGTTTAAATGCAACACTGGGAAAATGAATGAACAAAACATATTTAATTTTACATATTAATGATTAGGGGAAAAAGACATAAAAACAGGAGAAAAATAATAGTTACAGTGTTACTAAACCAACAACAAAAATCAGTCTGTATATGCAGTAAAGCATGCTTGTTATACCCACTGTGGAACCTATGGGGTTAATCCTTTGCACTGTCAGGGCCAATCAGCACTGTCCAGACAGAGGTCAGGGGTTCTGCATCCTCCTAAAGCATAATGAAAACTTCTCCTACAAGCTTTAACATGTGCTCTGCTGGACACTGATAGAAGTCTCAAGACTGCTAATATGCCTTCCTCCAGGTACTCTGGTTTCCTCCCACACTCTAAAGACATGCTGGTAGGTTAATTGGATCCTGTCTAAATTGGCCCTAGTACTGTATGTGTATGTATGAATGTAAGTTAGGGACTTTAGATTGTATACCCCTTGAGGGTTAGGGACTGATATGAATGTACAATATATATGTAAAGCACTGCATAAATTGACAGCAATATATAAGTACCTGTAGTAAAAAAAATAAGACACAGCAAGAATCCTATATACAACTCTTGTTTCTGCCTACTGATGCCCTAATTGGCTGGAAGGAGCTTACGATATGCAAACAATGATTCAAAGACATAAGATCTTTCATGAGCGGTTGCTCATAGTTATCTGTTATTAGTGATAATGTGGTAATTAGTACTATAGTTACATTGAAATCAGTATAAGTTTAAGTGCTGCGATTCCCAGAGTTCTTTTTTAATGCATTTTCAGTGGCTGCAGGATCTGTTCTTGTATGTACCCACCCAAATGCATGTAGCCACCCAAATGCATGAGTCCCCTGCTAATCCCCCAAATAGTGGCTCTTCATCAGCTTGTCTTTAATTGAAGAAGATTATCTATAAACAATTTAGGGTATATCTGTGAAAAAATCTGCTAATTTTGGATCTGCCCTACGTAGGTATTAGCACTTATCAAGAATTTCCCAGTGGCAATGCTGTTGAATATATTACATAATCATGTGATTGCTACCGCATCTCCTTTTTTATTGATTGTAACTGGTTTTTCTTACTTAATGGAGTAGACTTTGGACATTATAAGGACTTTAAAATCCTTGGCTTCATAGAAGAAAAAAAAAACCCTTATGGGACTTTATTGCAGTAAACTGGGACATTACACGTATACACCCAAGCAGGGGCAGACTGACCATTTGAGCACTCGGGCACTGCCCGAGGGCCGGGGTCAGTAGGGAGCCCCATGACATGCCCCTGGTACCTTTCATTGGATTTTCATAGGCTTTTTTGGGTGTGGGCGAGGACACGAGGGCCCCATAATCCCCTATTGCCCGGGGGCCCCATGAGTTGTCATTCCGCCCCGGCGCCCAAGAAAACTTTTTTTTTCAAATATCTACTTTATTACATAGACATGCTTATAAGAGATACATCATTTTATTTTAAAAAAGGCATTCACTCTGACAAATATTACAAAAAAGCTTTCTTCACAAAGTGAAAAGACACGCAAAGAGAAAAGGGAGAGAGTTATCCCAACGTGTTTCGATCATTTCATATTTTTGAACTTCTTCAGGGAGCATGGATACAAAAGAAATTTCTAGTGGACACAGAGATAAATCATAATATGTATATATCGACAATTAGTCAATGGCATTTATATCATACCATGATAGTACTTATATGAAGTAAATATTAGTCACAACAATTGTAAGATAATAGCATCCAGGAGGAACCCGCATGAACTGGAGCCCCAACTGTGTGGACACTTGAGAAGAACAAGAGTGGCCAGATGTCAATCCCATGGAGCCAGCAGCAACAAGGAAACACCAGATCACCCTCTACGCCATCTATGAACATCACAAAAAACAAAATGAATTATATACAAGGCTTATCCAATGGACCTGAAGGATGATACTCAAAATGATCTAAAGAAAGTAGGACTAACCATGTTGAAGCATGGCCAATACATGTGATGAATTAAAATGTTTCAGACCTAGGGAGACTGACAGTTGTTTTGTGTTTTCTTCCATTTGCAAATGATTGCACCAACTGTTGTCACCTTCTCACCAAGCTGCTTGGTGATAGTTTGGTAGCCCAGTCCATACTTGTGTAGGTCTACAATCTTGTCCCTGACATCCTTGGACAGCTCTTTGGTCTTTGCCATGGTGGAGAGTTTGGAATCTGATTATTTGATTGTTCCTGTGGACAGGTGTCTTTTATACATGTAACAAAATGAGATTAGCAGCACTCCCTTTAAGAGACTGCTTCTAATCTCAGCTTGTTACCTGTATGAAAGACACCTGATAGCCAGAAATCCTGCTGAATGATAGATCAAATACTTATTTCCCTCATGAACATGAAAATCAGTGTATAATTTGTTAGACATGCATTTCTTGTGAATTTTTTTGTTGCTATTCTGTCTCTCAGTGTTACAATACACCTACCATTCGATTTTTAGACTGATCATTTCTTTGTGAGTGGGGCAAACATTCAAAATCAGCAGGGGATCAAATACTTTTTTCCTTCACTGTAGGTAAGAGTTAAAAAGATATATATTTGTAGATATGCTGTGTAAATGGGAACACATAACAAGCACATAGTGGGGTTTTCTCAAACCTGAAAAAGTGAAAATATACTTTAAGTTTGTTACTCTATGAACTTCATATTATTGAACCATTTTATTGTGATTAAGTGGTAAGGTATTACAAGAATTCTAGGATATTTGTGAATCTACGACATTGTAAAATCTGGCAAGCCCCTTACTTGTGAGGCCCCCATTTTCCAGCACTGTCACACACATGCCCTGCTCTGCTGCAGCTGTCATCTCCCTCATCCTCTCTACAAATGTGTGCTGTGAGGGGAGAGAGGACACCCTCACAGGCTACATGCCAGCAGCCATGGCCATTCAGAGGGAAGATTCACCTAGCACCAGATTACAAGAGATGGAGGACACAGTGATTGGCGGCAGGGCAGTCCAAGAAGAGAAAAGCCCACCCAATGAGCATGGGGAAGGGGTTCAAGGATTCATGAGAGATGTAGTCCCCAGAGGTTTAGCCTTAACAGGAAAATAACTGTCAGACTACAAGTCCCAGGGGGATCATGTCTTGGGCAGGAGGAAAAGGGCTGGATAAACACAATGCTGGACAGAGTGCCCATGCTCCTTGTGTCACCAGATTGATTCTGAACTGTTGTACCTGCCAATGACCACCACAGAGTCTGCCCAGAGGGGACATCTGTGCCTGGAATGTCTGTAACTTTGCCCAGAATCAGTGCAACCATATTCAGAGCTGTTGTTGTCACCTTAACCACTCCCCGTCCTTCCCATGTATATAAACGGCCAGATGGGAGCAGTGCAGGGACGGGTGGCCGTTTATAAATGGCCTCCCCGCTCCCTGCTTGTGCGCGCTCCCTGGGACACCGTGGAACACCGACCGTTGTACGGGACCTCTGTGTGAGGTCCTGATTATGTGATCACTGATTGGCCAATCAGTGATCACATGAAGAGTAGTAAGCAAGATGTCACTTCTGACATCATTGCATACTACGTGTGAAATCAGTGAATGATCACAGAGGTCAAATGGTACAAGGCTATTCACAACAGCCTTGTACCATGTGACAAGTTGTGACCAATCACAGCTCACACAGTATTTCTCAATGGCTGCAAGAATGCAGCCAGAGAGAAGGAGAAATTATTGATTTTACAGCCTTTATGGGTGTAAAAGCAATCAGTGTAAAAAAAAAAAAAAATCTTCATCACCCCCACAAGTAGTAAAGTGTCACTGTGGTGACACTGTACTTCTCGGGTGACAGTATGTATGTAAAAACAAAAACAAAACATAAATAATAATAAAAAAATAAAATAAAGATGTAAAAAATTTGAATTTTTGGTTATAAACTAATTTGGGGTTTTTTTTAACTAAAATGATAGCTGAATACATTTTGGCCAAGATTTATGTAGAAAGATGATTTATTTGCAAAATTTTATAAGAAAAAACACTTTTTTTTCAACATTTTTGGACTTTTTCATTTATATAGCAAAAATAAAAATAAAAATCCCAGTGGTGAATAAATACCACAAAAATAAAGTTTTATCTGTCTCAAAAAAATGATAAAAAATTCATATGGGTGAAGTTTTGCATGACCGCGCAATTGACATTCAAAGTGTGATAGCGCTGAAAGCTGAAAATTGACCTGGACAGGAAGGGGGTAAAAGTGTCTGGACTTGAAGTGGTTAAAATACTTGTAAATCACGGGAGCTGACTTCCTGCGCTCTTTACCTGTGCTGACTGTTATCACATACATTGTTCTCAGCTATCTCTTAGAAATATCGAACCAATTTCTATATATTATGGAGAAGAGGAGAGGGTCTAATCCTGTAATCCTTTTTCTGTTGTCCTGTTTCTGTCGTTATCCTAGGACTGGAAATGTGTTTCTGGTAAAATCACCTGGTTGAAAAAAAAAATGCAAAAAATTGAAAAAAAGAAATATGTTGTAGTGAATACATCTAAGAACTGGTAAGCTGTAATATACTACATTTTTTATTTCAAGTTTAAACGTATGTGGTTTAAATTGCCACATCGAAGTGTGATTTTTCTCCTAAAATGTATAACTTTGATATCCAATAGTTGGTAATTATGTCATACTTTTTGTTTTTGTGTACTGTTGTTAATTTTTGGTTCCTCTGAGTACAAGCCATTAGTGCAATAAGTAAAGCATTATTTAATTACCATTTGATGTTGCTGTGGATTTATTTGGTCACCTTTCCAAAAAGTTTACCTTTGTTGGATACTTTTGTTTGTATCACTTAAGGCTAATATCTTTTCTATCCTATTACAAACAGGAGGTGTGGATTAACATTTATATTATGCTGAATCAGCATGCTGAAATCTCTGCACTTGGCTGTTAGCCACCTGTGGCCATTTGCCAATGTTGCTCAACAATTATATATTAGCTATCTGTCACTTGATTATCCATTAGCTTGATGCTTACCAAGCCATCACCTTGACATTTCAAACACAAGAAGTATTATTTTCTCTCCTTCTCTTCAATAATGTGCATGTATTTGATTTTCATCACTCTTTAACCTTACTTTATCTTTGATATTATAAATGTTATATAATTAATGGCATTGATAGAAATTGCTTAGTATTTGTTTAGCCATTGAAGGTGAACTTAAATAAGTTTTTCACTTAAAATGACGTGGCTATGCTTGGCAATAACTTTCATTTTGTTAGATGTTCATATTAGACTTGATATTTGTAGGGCCCAAAGGAAAGTAAAAAGTAAAGTAGATCTAAACCCAATCATCAAAAGCTTACACAAATCTGAAATCTCATATAAATCTCACATCATGTTAAAGAAGTTACAAACAATATTTCCAATCTGTTTAAAAATCTTTATTTAAAATTATAGTTGGTGATCCTACTTAGAAGGTCCCTGTTTAAGCATTTTCTGTTTTAGGGTCTCCCATGCTTCTGCTTTTCCTCCCTGGCACTTGTATCCCTGTTAGAAGCTACAAACGGCCATGCCAACACAGATTAAGCAGGTATGGCTAGTTACACTCACTATGAGAAAGCCAGTTCCGAGCAATGATGTGCAGCTGACACTGGAGCAGCTCAATGTACATAGGAGCAGGGGACTGAAAACTCATGGGGCCCCCCGGGCAATAGGGGATCAAGGGGCCCCTGTGTCCTTGCCCAAACTCAAAAAAGCCTATGGAAAAAGGTACCAGGGGCATCTCATGGGGCCCCCTACTGACCCCGGGCCCTTGGGCAGTGCCTGAGTTTCCAAATGGTCAGTCCGCCCCTGCATAGGAGGTGTCTGGAAAAGAGGAGATTAACAGCACTTAAATGCAAAAATAATTAAAATAGTGGTAATAATGCGTACTACTATCCATGACTTTCTTAAAGCATGTCTAAACCCAAAAACAAAATGTACTGTATAAATTTCAGCTTCAAATAAGAATAGAGCAATGCTATGTTAAATAAAACTAAAACATAAATTCATAAAAGATCTGTTAAAGTGATACAATAACACATGTAATAAAACATATACGTGTTCCAGAAAACAAAACTAAAACATAAACACAATTAGTACAGCACCGAACACCTCCGTGTTCAGTTTGCAGTCGAAAGTTCGAGCCTAATGAAAGTTCAACCGTGAACTTCTAACCAATGCAGGTCTATAGGACTCAAACTTGTAAATTCAAAAGTGCCCATTTTGAAGGCTTATATACATGTTATTGGCCATAAAAGGAGTTTGGGGACTCGGGTACTGCCCTGAGGGACATGAATCAGTGAAAAAAAAATTTTCAAAAAGCACCATTTTTAAAGGGGCAATCAGTTTTTATTGCTTAAAGTAAAAAAAAAAAAAAAAAGAAAAAACTTTTAAACATCATGCCTGAGGGGGTCCCCATAAACCACCTGCAAAGTTTCACATCTGCACAATGTATAGAACCTGCCACCCCCAATCTATACCAAACCCTTTAGGTCTGGTAGGAAGGTTAGGAGGGACCCCACAATAAAAAATTCCCCACAAAAGTGTGCAGGATTCCCCCTAAAAGCCATACTAAGCCCTTGAGGTCTGCTAGGGCTTTTAAGGGGAACCCCACCCAAAAAAATTGGGGGGAGCATGGAGTCCCCTCTAAATTCCTACCAGACCCTTGATCCAACACAGGCCTGGCAGGGTAGGAAAGGGGGGGACAATTGAGCGCTCCTCCCTGCGGCTTACCAAGCTGCGCCAATGGGGACAAGGGCTTCTTTCCAACAACCCTGGCCCAGTGTTTGCGGGGATCTCATTAGCATCAGGGTGCCCCTTTAAATAAGGGGACACCCTGATGCTGCTCCCCCCGTATGCATGAGTAAGGGGTACTTGTACCCCTACCCATTCACTAATTCAGTCAAAAATAAAGAGACCAGTCTTTTGAAAAATTCCTTTAACCCTCCTGGCGGTATTCCCGAGTGTAGCTCGGGGTAAACTTTCAGTACCAGAAGCAGTAATCCTGAGCTACAGTCGGGATTACCCTGCAGCTTTGCTCAGGGATCCCTCCAGAACTTACCTTGTCATGCTCTCCCGTGATGTCCCTCCATCTCCTCCGGTCGATGCTGGCATCTGTCTTCCGGTGGCATGTGCTGAAAATGGATAGAATATTGGGTAATATTATTCCTGATAGACCTATGTTTATATATAGAAAGGCTACAACTATAGGTGATAAAGTAGTTAAAAAGATATCGGATCCACCAAAACATATGGGTATGTTTTGGGATAGAAAAGGTTTTTATTCCTGTAATAAATGTTCGTATAGTGACTAATAAATTTAATGGCCTGACCAAATTCCATTCCAAATCCAATGGAAGGGAGTTTGAGATAGCCACATGTATTACCTGGGAGTCCACTCATGTAGTATATGCTTTAGAATGTCCTTGTGGCCTCATTTATATTGGTAGAACCAAAAGGCATTTTAAAATTAAAATACTTGAACACATTAAAAATATAATGAAGGGCTATATATATCATTGTGTATCTATGCACTTTAGAATATTTCATAACCGTGACCCCACTGTTATCAAATTTTGGGGTTTAGATTCTGTCCCACGTATGTGGCGTGGGTCTAACAGAATTAGGGAATTATCAAAGTGTGAAACCAGATGGATATATATGACTGAGGCCCTGTCTCCTAATGGTTTAAAGGAGTAACTGGATCTAAATGGCTTTATTAGTGATTCTTGATAGTATTTATGTATTTTAATTTATTTTCTTAATTTTCAGTTAATTTTAATTATTTTATTTTCATTTTATTGAATTTAAGTTAATTGTATTTAATGGGTAATTTTAATTATTATTATTATCATTGTTTTGGTTATATTTATTGTCATCTGTATTATACAAATGAATGATAATTGTATGCCATTGTTATCTATTAATCAAACACAAGATGGCGCTGATGAGTGGCTTCGACTCCTCTGATATAAGTGTGCTATTGTGCATATCAGTTGAGATATGTGTCATCTTGTCTTTATCTCCTATGAGGTGTTGTCATTATAATGAACCAATGAGAAAAGGGGCAGCTCTATAAGAGCTAGCTTAATCCACTGCTGATCACACCATCAGACAAAGTCGTGTGACGAAACACGTTAGGGCGTGATTCAGCAGTGACGTCATCACGCATGCTGTATCACATGTCCGGACCACGTGAACGCAACCGCGTCATCTTTTGAAGGCTGGTGAGACGCCACTGTGTGTGTAGGTAGCGGTGTACTAAGCACTGCAGAAAGATTTTAATTATAAAAAGGCTTTTGAAGTACTGACTTAATGTGAGTGCGGTTTTTATGGGGGTATTTGTTGGAATAAAATTTCTGAAACGGTATTATGCTATGGAGAGTGTTTTCTACTTTGTTCACATGTGACATATGGAGTTCACTGGGATCATCTGCTGATTGCTAATGATATGCTGCGGAGTCTTATCATACCCACTGAGTTTATAAAGATATGCTGGTTTTTCACCAGTATCTGGTGAGTTTGCACTTTGATGGGGTGATTCCATAACTTTATTGATTGAAGATCATATATGTTCTATATGGACTTTATTTAATGGACTTTGAGAATCAATTATTTGTTACTCCACACATAATTTATTTTATTTGGTGGTTGGATTATTATTTAATTTCAGTTGTTTTTGGTGAGCGCTATTATTGTGTTTATATATTTATTTTCACAAATTTTGATACGTATTCTGTGAGATGTTTTTGCTAAAAAAAAATCCCAATACGTGTAAATTAATTGCTTTACGTGAATGTTATAGCGTTTACAAATGGCGGTATATATACTGGAATGTATTTTTTATTTTTACTAGTAATGGTGGCGATCAGCGACTTATAGCAGGACTGCGGCGGACATTCTGACACTGGGGGGAACTGACTTGTTGTCACTGACATCCCCAGTGACACCAATACAGTGATCAGTGCTAAAAAAAACCCACTGATACTGTACTAATGACACTGGGCAGGAAGGGGTTAACATGAGGGGCGATCAAAGGGTTAACTGTGTGCTGGGACTGTTTTACTAGGGGGCAGTGTCAGTGTGCTTCACTGCAATCACACTGCTCTGTATGGCTGTGCTGTACACAGCCATCCAGAGGAGTGTGACCAAGCTGACAGGGAGGAGTCCCCCCCCCCCTCAGAGATTTTTGGAAATCACTGGGCACCGGCAAGTAATTACTGGCCAGGACACAGTGATTGACAGCCATGCCGGCGCGGGTAGGGCACATGCACAGCTCGTGCATGCCTCCTACCTGAAAATGCACACTCACATAAAAATATATGTGATTTTGCTCACCCATGCTGCTCTGTAGCAGTATTTCTGCTATAGGGCGGACGGGAAGCAGATACAGCCTTAGCCTGCAAAGAAACAAAATTGTGAAAAAACAACACCAAAAATAAAGCTAAATTTAAAGGCTAAATATCGCAAAACATAAATATTTAACGCATTCGGTAAATAACACAGTTTTTTCCTGAATTGACTACTTTTTAAATAAATACCACATGCATTATTTTGACTCAAACATTCACGCGGTATATATCTCTTAGTGAATTGACCCCATTGCATGTAATGGTTAGTTACAACATAAAGGAAACATGCTTTCTACCAAATGGTGCATCCAACAGCAAAATGTAGATTCATATTAAAGGCCATTCACATACATTTATTATGGAAATGTGTATATTGCTTTAAGTTTTTAGTTTGTAACATGCTTACTCATATATGTTATATGATTAAAATCCCCAACATTTTTTTTTTTTTTTTTAGGTGCTAATAGAGTAGGTAAAAGTTAAAACTTCTATCAAACTTTTCTTGCTGTTTGCCTGCTAATTGGAGAGTTTTACTCTCAGTCTTGTCCCACTGACACAAGACATGATGGGTGTCACCAGTACAGGACACACAGCAATAAATCTGACAGATGTTCTAACATTCTAACCCCCTCACCACTCAAAGAAATAAATGTGCTTGTTGGTGCCCCATGATCTCACTTCATGTGCTTCTCCCAACCTGTCACCGGGACAGGAAGTGAGGTTAAATCTCATTAACAGGGACAGAATCAGCAGTAATAACCTTGCAGATGTTTTAACCCTTTTTCCTTTTGTACAAATCGAAAAAACAAATTGGTTGGAGTTTAAAATGAACTATTTTGTCTCATGCAGGTTACTGTTTAGGCTCCATGCACACAGGGCATTTTGATAACACTGGTAACATTAGCTGTGTAAAGTCACGTTCAAAATGGGAGTTTTTCCGCTTTTTTTAGCGTTTTTGCATTAGCGTTTAACGGGTTTTGCTGCGATCAGCAGTGTTTTTCCGTGTTTGCGTTTTTTTACCATAAAAATTTTTTTGGGTCAAATAAATTTCCAAAAATGCTGGTTTGCAGCGTTTTATCGCGTTTTGCCACGTTTTTCAGCGTTAGAGCATTTTTACAGCTAAACTCCTCTAGAAACCCACTAGTCCTGGGTTTTTTTTCCAACCAAAAAACATCCCAGTCAAAAAACGTTGATTACAGTCTGTGTGCATGGACACATAGGATAACATGCCAAAAACAGCAGCTGTAAAAGCATCAAGTGTGCATGAGGACTTAAACAGAGTAGCATGAAAGAGGTCTAAACAACAAAAAACAGCTCTATGCACCACATCAACATTTTAGGCAAAAGATGTCAATATTGCTGGTGTCTGTACAGCTCCCGTAATAAACTATACACAATTTCACGTGCCTTTGTCACTGGTCTCTCACAATAATTTATTGCTTTGAGTGGCATGGGTTCACAATGTGAACTCACAGTTTTGTCAGCAGAAAGAAGTTATGGCGCAGGCTGATTTTTGTGTACAACAAGGTCAGAAAAAACTAATTCCTTTGAAATGAAAAAAGGAGTCAGAAACAAGAGTTTTAATAACAGAATTGACACAAGCACAGCATATTACAAATATGAATTACAGTTCTATCAGGACATCTATTGAAATCCTTAGATTGCTTTGCTCCCAGCCTGACATAATATTCAAAGCCGGGTTTATATGTGCAAAGAATGCGGCTGCTTCCCAAAGTACATGCAAATCAGATCATTGATTTATGCAGAGCCAGACTAGTGGGTGGAACACTAAATTTAATTTTTGGGAAAAAAGCTAAACTACCTCAATACACAAGGCTGACACTGTGAACTGTGCATAAGGCACCGACAAATTCATTACAGTTTCCATTTTAGAAGAACTGCTGCATTCGAATGAAACATTTGTCTTTTGTCAAAGCTATTCTGTGGAAAAAATATTTTTGTTAAAGATGTCAACATAGTTCAGATACCCTGACCCTTTGCCTTTAATATGATTGGAAATTTGATGCATGTGTATATCCTAAGTCAACAAGGCTTTCTCATGGACAATTCTATGTTCGCTATTTTTGATTCAATAAAGCATATTTTGGAACAAAATTCAAAAATTGCCACAAATACATAGCATTTCTATTCAGGGAAATTTATGTTAGAAAAAGTCGCCTAATTCATTATTTTCTTATTACTGACTAATGTATTTTAACATGGAATAAAATTACCAAAGTAAAATTGCAGCAATGTGGCTTCAGCAAAGCATTTCAAGCGTAATTATAAGCCAGCTATCAATTTTGGACACTTTCCTGCAGTTTCCATGTCACATAGGCTGTGTCACAGGATCCAGAACATTGTGCAGAATGGTTGTGCAACTCCAGAATGTGGCACTAAAATTATGAAAGGTGGAGTGATCTCCAGCCCAACAGTGCCAGTACAGTTCTGGTGGCATTGTCAGCTAAGAAAGGCAAAGCAGTAGTTAGCCCTCATCAGGGGCGGACTGACCATTTGGAAACTCGGGCACTGCCCAAGGGCCCGGGGTCAGTAGGGGGCCCCATGAGATGCCCCTGGTACCTTTTTGGAATTTGGGCAAGGACACAGGGGCCCCATGATCCCCTATTGCCCGGGGGCCCCATGAGTTGACAGTTCGCCCCTGGCCCTCATGCACACTTGACATTTTTACAGCTGCTGTTTTCGGTGTTTGACGTTTTTTTCTACAGTTAATTATTTCCCCAGCATGTTATCCTATGTGTCCCTGCACACATAGGCTGTAATCAACGTTTTTTGGCTGGGATGTTTTTTTTGCAGGAAAAAAAACCCCCAAAACTAGTGGGTTTCTAGAGGAGTTTTATAGCTGTAAAAATGCTCTAACACTGAAAAACGCTGAAAAAATGTGGTAAAACGCCCCAAACCTGTGATTTTGGACCAAAAAAAATTTTTTTTTTGGTAAAAAAAGTAAACAGGGCAAATATGGAAAAAAACGCCGCTAAATGCTACTGCAAAAATGCTAAAAAAAAGCTGAAAAACTCAAGTTTTTAACGTGACTTTACACAGCTAATGTTACCAGTGTTATCAAAACGTCCAATGTGCATGAGGACTCAAAGAGCAGAGCATATGATTAGATACGTAACTACTGAACACCAATGCAACAATAGGTCCTACTTTTTCTCTTATTGACAACAACAATTGGAGTTATTTTTGCTATGAACACCAGTAATATGTTTTGAGGTTTTTTTGCTATGCCTTTCTCTCTACATGTACAATTGAGAGTGCCCAAACACCTTTTTTTCTGGCTTTTTATTATATATCCATACTGAGGAGTATACTGCAGTGGAAAGCGACCAGTGAAGTGATCCTTTCGAGATCTCCAGCCATCCCTATGTATTTTACATGCTTTTGACCGCTTGCTGTGGTGGCCATGTTGTTCCGGTAAGAGGCTATGTGTGTGGAAGTTGGAAGAAGTCTCCTTTTCAAGCACTTCAATTTTCTTTGGCACCAGGTCTTTGTGAATTTCAGCTGCATTATCTGGACTCTTTTGCATGAAAAATATTGCTATTCTATCCCTGAACATAGTAGTACATACAATGATCATTTAAAATAATGAACAAAAATTCAGCGCTCACATGATGTGGAATGGGATGGTAACATAAAAAAAAATAGTGCACAGTGGGAGGAAATTAGGGAAAGGACTGGGCACATAAATAAATGAAGAGAAATCACTGGGTGGAATGGTCCATGGGATGGGCAATGTGAAGAGAAAGTAGACCAATGAGCCAAAGCACCTGGATGGAAGCTGGCAAGTCTCACCAGGGATGGTGGAGATCCTAAGAGACCTAAGAGGTGGCATGGTGGACTCGATAGGTGCGTCCTGGGCTGGATGGTGGAAAAAGAGATGTCTTCTTCATATCCATGAACATATATTCTAAAGATCATTGAGCACTGGGTCTTTGTGAATTTCAGCTGCATTATTTGAACTCTTTTGCATGAAAAAGATTTCTATTCTATTCATGAACACATATTCTAAAGATCATTGAGCACTGGGTGTTTGTGAATTTTAGCTGTATTATCTGGACTCTTTTGCATAAAATATTGTTATTTTATTCATGAACATATATTTAAATATTATTGAATCTTTTCTGTGAATTAGCACTGTGTTTATTTCTTATTTTGTTTTGTTTGGTGCCAACACTCTTGGTAGCTGCTTTTTTACTATTTACAGTATATAACTTTTATCTCCTAGTGCAGGTTGCTATTGTATTTTAACAATAAAGGTTGTTTTTTTTGTAAATACTGGCATCAATGATAGGACTAAATTTTGCTCCCACACCAGCAATTAAATTTATGTTTGCATCCACTGTCCTGTATTGTGTGAGGCAGCATATTATCTACACCTTACCCCTGATCTCTGCACTCTGCATGCTGTGCTGAACGTTGAATACTCCCTACCACTGCATGCTGTGCATTAAATAATCCTGACCAAGGTGACACAATGCAACAAATGCTGGCTACTAAGTAGTCCTCAATTATTTTAATTAAATTCCTTTTTAAGGTATGATTAGAAAAAGTGGTAAATCTCTGTCTATATTCCATGTCCAGAAAAGTGTATGGAAGAGTTTCATTTTTAAAAACCGCATCTACTGAGGTTGATGTGTGTCTGTGGGATTCTTACTTATGGCACAGTAATATAGGAGTATTTTGTGGATACAA